ATCATATCAACAACTTGGTTAGTGGCCTCTGGTGGATGGTAGTACCTGTATCTCCCTCTGCTACCTCTCTTTAAAAGCTCGCTGGTCACAGAAGTCTGAGGAAACCAGGACACAGTGTGATGACACCCACTGAGGGACATTCATGATTTTTGAAGCATTTTATTAGCTCTTGGAGCTACAGAAGAGTTGGGTTAGATAGAAACTCAAACAGATTCTCTTCTGAATCCTGACCAACCCTGTCTGGGCATTTGTCCCTTTCTTCTCTGCAAAGAAACTTGACGATGAAAGCACAGCAGGGCTGACTTTATGGGAGTGCAGTCCGTGCAGTCTCAGAGCCCTCCATACTTGGAGGGGCCCTGAGCTTGGGTAAATGTTTTGCCATCCCATCTTCAAGACATTTTTTGTCCAGCTGTTATTTTGTGCTACTGAGTCAGAACTGATTCATAGTTTACCTTCCAGTGGGTTTTCAGAGGCTGCAAATCACACTGGAGGAGATTGTTTATCTTTCTCTCATGGAGCAACTGACGGATTCAAACTGCCTACCTTTGGATGGACCATGCAATTCCTTACCATGAGGCCACTGTTGTTGTTTCTAGGTGCCATCTAGTCGACTGTGACTCCTATCTATGAATAATAGATCTGAACTTTGCCCTACCCTGGGCCGTCCTCTTCATCTCTGATATGTTTGAGTTCATTGTAATAGTCCAGTGCCAATCCATCTCATTGACGGCCTTCCTCTCTTTCACTGACCCTCCACTTTTCCAAATTTTTCCCCTTTTCCAAGGATGGGCCCTTCTAACAACATGCCCAAAACATGTGTGGTGAAGCTTCACCATCCTCGCTTCCAGGGATCACCCTGGTTGCACTTTCTCCAAACAAATTTGTTTGTTTTTTTGGAAGGTGATAGGATATTCAGAATAATTCTCCAACAGTTCCTATTTTAATAAGGAGTTTTAGATTTATGTTTTGGACTCATAAATTAGGTGGGCAATTCTGAAGTACAGAGCTTGACCCCCTTTCATGCAACTGTGAGCTGCTCCTACCTGGACTTATGTCTCTTCGGTTGTGAAAGGGGGCCAAGAAGAGAAGGACTTTGGCTTTCATGTTTACTGCTCTAGGCTCTAGAATAAATCCTATTGGAGAGATTTAGAGCAGCACGTCTTTCCAATTAATTTCCAACAGAAAAATGGAATCCCAGGGCTTTCTCGCTTCTCAGAGCACCACTGAGTAAGACAGGTGAGAATGAAGAAATCAGTATTTAACAGATGAAGCGAGGTCCAGGCTGGTTTCCTGATCTGCTAGTGATGATGTTGTCTTGCACAGTTCTTAGGAGGAAATGATGATATAAATGTGCATAAGTCCAAGGAGCACAAAAGCCCGGTAAATGGCAACTGTGTACTTCTAGAAATGCAAGGAAATGTTTGTGGCCTTGCCTATGCATGGCAAACTGTGCTTCCATCATAATCCTTAGCATGTTGTGCTGCTAACCAGAAGTGTGCATATCTCTGAGTGTTCAAATCCTTAGGAGGAAGATGGGCAGTTTCCTCCCGTTAAGATTTTCAGTCTCAGAAACCGGATGGATGGTTACTGTCAGTTGATATTAACTCAATGGCAGTAAGCGAGTGAGAAACTTCAATGACATGTATTTGAATCCTGTATTCCACACCAGGGACACAGTGCAAGATCCGCAGTTTATTGCACAGCAATTCTAGAATTTGTCAGTTGTATATCAGTTGTCAAAAATATGATCTTATGACTACATCTCAAACGGATTGCTGTCCAGTCGGAACTGCCTCAAAGCTGGTGTCCGAGGCTGTAAATCACAGGGAGGGGATCGTTCCTCTTTCTCCCACAGAGCCGTGGGTGGAATTGAGTCGCCAGACAGGGAAATACTTTGGGTTAGCAGAGCAATGTCTCATGGACTAGGCCACCAGAGCTCCAAGGCTGCACGGCTACATGGTTCTTTACAAATGTTACCTCATTTGCTCCTCATGCAACCCGGTGAGGGCATTTTCATCCGTATTTTCCAGGTAGGAAAGATGGCGCTCAGAGAAGAAGAGCTACTTGGCCAAAGGCATAGATAGAACTGGTAAGTGCAACCAAGATTTTAACAATTTTATACTAATATCTGTGATTCAGTAAGGTTCAAATACCCTCACTGTAGGCTCCAGGATTCCAGGAAGCCGAGTATGGCTGGATGACAGAGACTTGGTTTGGGAGGAAAAGGGGCGGGCCTCACAAACTGCGCAGGTCTATTTTGATCCCCAGAGGACTCCGGCCTGGGGCACCTGGCCACACGTGGTCACGAGGTGGCGCTGTGGCCCGGGCGCCTCCAGCCAGGGCTGGCGGAATCTAGTGGACATCTAGTTGGAGGAGGCGGGCTGCCCCGCGGGGCTTCAGTTCTAAAGCCCTGGGGTAACCTGGGCTAGGAGTGCGGGGTCGTACCCTTGAGATGAAGGGTGACAGTGCAGTAGGGGAGCCACCACTGCCTCATTTTGCTGATAAAGACGCTGCAGCTCTGTAAGGAGGCCCAGGGTTAATCCACTCCCTGTAAGGACCCCCTGCCTCTCCTTGGGCAGCGTGCACTGGAAGACTCCTGCGTTCCCTGAAGGACATTTTCCTCAATTAGGACTCTGTGACCCTGCTCCACGGGGTAGAAGTTTCTAGGGCCACTTCCTCACCCAATCATTGAAAGCCTGAGGCGCCAGGGGAAATGAGAAGGATGAAGAACATGGGCCCTGGGGGTTTGACCTTTAACTCTGACCCCTTCCCACGCCCCTGTACCTCCCCCCACACCAGTTCTATCTTTTCTGACCTTGGGCTTTGCGACTCCAGTGTGTGCTGAGATAAGCTCCTTGCCAATGATGCCCACCCTGTCCTGAATGTTCTGTGTGCCCTTGCTCACAAGTGTCAGGCCCACCTGTCCCTTTGAGCTGTGCAGGTGAGCTGCCTCCAGGAAAGGGCTCTGATCCTTGCCAGGGGTCTCACGCTGTCTCCCCCACCCCAGAGTCCTGAACCCTCTTAGGGCAGGTTCATCTTCCTGCCCAGTGTAGGCTGAGCATATAGGTCTCATGGAAAGTCTGCCATTGAAGGTGGCATTCCTATAGATCGTCCATATTGGTGACGGGTCATTTGGATGAGCTGCAGTGTCACCAGACATGGCAGTCCAAATGTCAGAGGAGCAAGGAACTATTGGAACTCTGAGAAGAGAATGAAATGGAAGAGTCCTGGGGAAGGCTTCCGAGAGGTAGGACTGGATCTATTAGGATGGGAAGTTTGAGTCAGGTATCAGGCAAAGTGTCTCACCAATTAATAGCCAGAGGTGAAGGGCACAGAGGTGTGCAAGGGCCAGGTAAGCTCGTGTCTCCTCCTGAAATGGGGTGGGTGGAGCGGGGGTGTGGAGAGTAGGGAGATGAGGACTAGTCAGGAGTAGGCTGCAGAAGGTCCAGCCCACCCCTCCAAGTAGTAGCTCCTGACTTCATGTCTCCTCATTCTCTAACTCCTACAAGATTCAGTTTTTCAGGGAGAAGAAACGGCCCAGGACAGGGCTTGACCTTTTTCAGGTCACTGATGTTTGAATGACAGAATGAAGGACACTTTGCAGTGTTTATTAAACCAAGGACCAGTGGAGTGCTGGGTGGGGTTGATCGGACATGTTGGACCCCTCAGGATCAGCTGCTGATGCTCACATGACCTCTGATGACTGGCTTCTGCCCATCGATGCCCCCCCCCCAACACATCCTAGGACACAGTATTACGAACATGAACAAATGCAACTTTTTTCTTCTTTTACAAACGGCATGTTGTTTTTGGTCCCCTGCCTGCAGGGGTGGAGGAGGGAGGTGGCTGAATGTTGCAGTCCATTAAAAAGGGCAGCAACTGTTATAAAATGAAGACAAAGAAACCAGCCCAGGGCTGGGAAGCTGAGAGGTCACCCTGGGGGTGGAGGAGAGATGAGTAGTGGATACCCTGCTTCCTCCATGGCTTTCACAAGAGGGTGAGAGGGCCTGCCAGGTTATAGGGTTGAATCTCTGTAGACCCTCAGAGCTCCAGTGGCCAATGGGGCTCCAGGGATGCATCAGTTTCTGGCTGAAAACCAGTGCCTGGTGAGCCAGTGGACACACCATCAGTCCTGATGCTGGGGGACCTCAAGCCAGAGTGAAGAATGGAATGACATACCCAAGCTTCGAGAGACCCTGAGGCATCAACTGGCTTTAGTCTAGGGACCAGCCAATGGGCCCAGAGTCTACCTTGGAGGCCCTTGCCCGCCTAATGCCTCTGCTCCTGGGAGTGATGGGGAATGAGCAGAAGCATCCGGATATGGATATGGGGCCCAGCAGCAGGAGGAGCCCAGGAAAGGGAATCTTGGGAAGGGAAGACGGGAAAGTGCAGAGTCCTAGCTAGGAGGGGGCAGAGGACTGGATTCCAGTCACGCCACTGCCCTTGTTAGGACTTCCCTTTATATTTCCCCTCTCTAGGCCTCAGTTTCCCCAGTTGTCATGTGTGGAGGGTAAACCTGATTTTATCTCCAGTCTTTTCAAGATGAAGACTCTACTCTGGGCTCCAGGGAAAGAGATGGAGCGGGTCCCTGGGCCCAAGGTGATGGGAGAGGTGTGGTCATAAGAGAAACTGGTGCCCCTGAGTAACTGGAGGGTACAGAGTGCTGGAACTGAACTCTGCCCTGCAGTGGGGACGCCCTTTAACCCTCCTGTCACAGATCAGGGTGGCCCAAGCCTGAGGGAAGGCACTTTGAGGACAGGTCAGGAAGGGCAGCAAGAACCAGAGTCTGGTTTGGCAATGGTGTCCTTCAGCTCATGGTTTTGGAGGCAACAGAGACAGAAGGGCAAGGCTTTGCTCCTAGGTGTCAGCCCCAGGTTCAGAGTTCTTCCCACATGGGCTGCAGAGTCCCTACTGGCACTGGCACATGAAAATATAAATTACCCAGGACCCAAGCAAGCTCAGGGCAGCAGTCTGTTAGGTGGCCCCAGGCCACACCTTTGTCACAATGTGTCAGGGCCCCTGGCTGCAGATCTCTGGGTGCCTGTGCAGTGCAGGGCCACCTTGGGGCTGGAGCCACGCTGCCGGGGGTAGGCGCCCTCCCGCACCAGGCGCCTGCACCGCACATGCTGGCCCATGCTGAGGTGCTGCAGCGCTGGGAGGTGGTGGAGCAGCATCTCAGGAAGGAGCACCAGACCTGTGCCGGACAGGTCCAGTTCCTGCAGGGAGTCCAGGCCCGAGAATACCTCAGGTCCTGCCCACTTGAGCTTGGGATTGCCTGACAAGTCCAGGACCTGCAAGCCTGACAGTTCTTGAAACCCATAAGGCTCCAGCTGAGGAAGTCCTTGCAGGCTGCCCAGTGACAGATGTGTAAGATCAGCCAGGCCTGAGAAGGCCCCTGGGCCGATGGTAGCCAGGGGGTTCCCATCCAGGCTGAGGTAGCGCAGGGGCAGGTTTCGGAGGTTGGGCACAGCTCGGAGCCGGTTCCAGGCCAGGTTCAGGCTCTGGATGGTGGGTGCAGGCAGGCCGGAGCGTGGCGAGTGGGGCACAAGGTGGTGAATGAGATTGTAAGAGAGGTCCACGTGCAGTGCCCTGCCCTGGCTGTGGGTGGTGAAGGCAGACACGGAGACCTCCTGGAGTCGGTTGTGGCTAAGGTTCACATCACTCAGTGGTGAGCTGGTGAAGCTCTTGGCTGGCAGGGCTGCCAGGCCATTGTGGCTGAGGTCAAGTGACTCCAGGTAGCGAAGGCGGGAAAATGTGGTCGGGGAGATGCTGGTGAGCAGGTTGTGGCTGAGATCCAGCCCAGCTAATGTGGTGTAGCCGGGACCTGCCAGCACTGACTCATTCACTATCTCCAGCCGGTTGGAGGACAGGTCCAGGTGGGCTGTGTCTAGGGGGATGGGCACGGGCACGATGTGGGGGCCCAAGCCGCTGCAATCCACTCGTGTCAGGCTGAAGCTATCGAAGAGGCCGAAGGTCTCCACCTCGCACTGGCACCCGGGGAAGCAAGGCTGGGTGGTCTGTGCCTCGGTGATGGCCAGGAGAAGTAACAGGGGCCACAGCATGTTGGGGGCTAAAAGAAGAGAGTCACAGGTTAGGGATGGCAGCTGGCATTGCAAACCAGATAGTACTGGTACCAACACCATCCCATAAATTGAGCCGTTATCCCCAAGAACAGCAGAAAACTGCCCCAGACCTTTGGGGAAAGAGGACACACCTCACCTGTTCCCCTTCTCCTGGGATGCTTTCTCTGAACCTTCCTCACACAATTCCCAGCTGGAGGTTAAGCTGGAAGCAAAAGAACCCTTTCTTAAAAAGAAGCACCTACAATAGCTGAAGTGAGGGAGCAGTCCCCTTGCCACTGGATGTTGGGAACTCAGGCTAGGTAATTTCAGGGGCTGCTCTAGCCCAGGTGTTCCCCACCCCCCTATACTGAGGGCAGGGCTCATGCTGAGGGGGAGGCAGAGGCAGTCAGATAGTGGGGCCATGTGCTCTGCTCCCCTCTCCTGAGCCATCTCAGGCACAGTATCCTAATCACCCTCCATGGCAGAGCTTTCTCTTTCCATTTCACAAAAAGCAACTGAAACTCAGAGAAATGAAGAAACTGGCGCACAGTGGAATCCAGACTCCAGTCTGACACAGTACAAACACGGCCTGCCATCACATATCACAGTGCCTGTAGGTGCAGGTCCAGGGGCCTGAGCCTCCTCACCTGGCCTGCCCCCCAGAGGTACAAGTGAGTCTTCCGTTTCTAGACTCTCAGGTGGGGTTTGGAGACAAAGCTCCTTTCTCCCTTGCTCTGGCTGACAGCAGTCACTCTCTTTGGTCCTTCCTTTTACCTAGAGAGGGCAGCTGAGCAGCTTCCCTCCATAAAAAACACACAAAAACCAAAACCCAGTTAAGTCCATTGCACCTTCTTGGTGGCTCATGTGTGCCAGAGCAGCCTGTGCTCCATGAGGTTTCCGAGGCTGTTTTTCAGAAGTAGATCTCCAGGCCTTTCTTCTAAGGCACTTCTAGGTGGAGTTGAATCTCCACCCTTTCAGTTAGTATCCAAGCCACTAATCATGTTTACCATCTGAGGACTCCTGCTCCATTATACTGATGAAGAAATCACGTTTCAGAAAGGAAAAGGGTCCTGGCCCAAAGTGGTAAAGCACAGGACAAGATGAGGTCTATACGATTCCAATTCCTTCTCCATGCCTGGCGGACAGAGTCTCATGGGGCTTCTCCTACTTACACAGGCTCAGATGTAAACCATTTCTCCTCCAGGACCTCTTAGGATTTCCCTTCCCTTTATGATTGTAACAGAAGCTGCCATGTATGCTAAGCACAACATACATGTCATATTCTGCCTCTCACCACATCTGACTGGCCTGCGGCTGTACCCATGGCCACTATAGCTCCCTAGGACCACGTTGCCCCTCTTCCCAGTGTGGCAACATGAAAACAGGAGAGGAATTAACAATGAGGATGTCTAACAGGACAGTCTATGATTACTCCTCTCCCCTGTACAGCGGTCACTTGAGCCAGGGAGACAGAAGTTCATCTGCCTCACTTTAGATCCCTTTATCTTGAGTGGCCCTGCTGGCCATCCGCTGTCCCCCTGGCATCTTCTCCCACTCATCCCTCCCACCTTCCCTCCCTTGGGCCTTCAGGGATGGGGGATGGGGACTTTGTGCACTGGTGTAGGGTAGGGAGAGCAGCAGTATAGCATTACCAGCTTTACATGAAACTTTAAAGGGGTAGCCACTTGATCTGCAAGAAGGCTCTGCCCAGGGGCAGGGAGAAGCTGAGTTTCTTCCCCAACTTGGGCCCCCATCTACCGCCCCTTTCTTTTGTAGAGGCCAATTTGAGGATTAAATCCAGCCCAGGTGCATCCTGGGCTTGGCCCCAGCTGAGGCAGGACAGAGTGTTCCAATGTCTGGAACCAAAGGGAAAATATTAAGTTGCTTCAGGCCCCCTTTGTTCCCCTGGGGGAGTTCCTCACTGCCGGGCTCATTATCAAGGAGGGCCCCTCCTTCCCCACAGAGCCAATCTGCTCCCGCCCACCCTTCCTGGGGTTTAACCAAACACCCACCCAGGGCCCTGAGATTATTCTTGGGTTCCCAAAAGCAATTATACAATATGCCCATAAAATGCCAAGTGGTCCCTCCTGAGCTCCTGCTTATGCAATTGGCAGCCCTACACAGCTCAAACACTCTCCCTCCGGAGAGAGGGCCCCTCGACACCCCTCTCTAGCCCTCATCCTTTGTACCACAGGGTGCTGACGTCTACCCTGCCCTCCTCACATCAATCCACTCAGCCCTCACTGGAGTGCACTGCACACGGTGAAGAGTCATGCCCATGCGCACGGGATGGCCTTCACCAGGCTGCCAAAACTGCAGAACTGGAGGCAAGCTGACATGTAGAGGGCACAGGTGAGCAAGATCGAGGCCCCGTCTGCCATCCTGACCCGGCTTGCAGTGCGTCCAGGGGACACTGGAATTGGTCCTTGCTCTGCCTTTCCCTTCCCGGGCCCCTGCTCTGCACCAGGCCCGTCAAGCCTCACTACTTGGCAAGGCTACTCACACAGTTTCGTACTCAATCCTCACGAGGCTGGCAGTATTATCCTCATTTACACCGAGGACAATGAGGGTCACAAAAAAGAGGCAGCAGAGGCAGGAACTGAACTTGTGTCTTTCTAATCTAATCTTATCACTGGCACTGCTGTTGGACATCACCGGGCGGTATGCATTTGTAGGTTGCTGGGAAAGGACAGCTAAGTGCCCAGTGACCTAGGCTGGATACAGCTGCTGTGACTTGCTGTGAAGAAAGTGGCTAAAATGTGTTTCAGTATAAATGACTCCAAAGATTTCCCAGGGTCACAGAGAACCCAGAGGCCTCTCCTGGGGCTTCACAGCTGGCTGGCTGCCCCTCCATGCCCAGCTATTGCAGAGGTGGACCTGGCCTTAGACCTTGTGAAGAGTGAAGGTTGCTGGGAAAAGAGGAGAGAAGCCCCAAAGAAGCCTCACAATTTCTAGGCCAAAATGTGAATGATGGCAGCAGGCAGGCAGTTATCTCTGAGCTGTGTGGTTCCTGGTTCTTCAGAGTCCTGAGAGAACACACCTCAAATCTCCTTGGAGGGCCTTCCTTGGGAGGATCTATATGGTGGGAGCTTCCCTCAAAGGCCTCACTGTGAATGCCTTCTGCCAGGTCCTCAGAGGGGCTGACTTCTGGCACTGCTGCTCCAAGCCTGCCTTAAGAAAAAGGCGTAGGAACCAAGGAGAAGACAGAACTTTTTGAGGAGACTAGGGGAAGAGAACTCAGCTGCACCAAAGGTCCCCGCCCTATTTCATTCAAAGAAGCCTCTGCTTGTTTCACGCTCTGAGGGGCCCAGAGCAAGGGTTGGGACCCAGCTCTACTCACGAGGAGACTGTAGCCCAGAGATTTTGACTTGTCTGCAGACCCGCAAGTGAGGTGGAGGCAGGACTAGTGCTCACACTCTGGTCTCCTGTCCCCGCAGCCCACTCCACAGATTGCTGGGCTCTCCTGAGGAACAAAGCATTCAACAAAAATGTCCAGAAAAGCTTACAACCTTACAGGGAGGGCTGATGCCATGCTAGGTAGGATAAACTGCATGCCCAAGAATGTTAACTATGCATTTTTATTTTAAAAAATCCTAATTTTGCAAAGTCTAGAAGGAAGTATATCAATAATGGTTTTTCTTTAGAATTATTCAATTATGTCTTAAATATAATCCCCCCCCTTTACATTTTTATTATCTTTATGTGTGTACTGTCAAATCGGATCTGACTGGTACAGGAGATTGCCCCTCCTTCTCCAGCAGAGCATCTGGTGGATTTGAACCACGTACCTCTGGGAATGTAGTGCTGCTTCTTGCCACTAGGCCACCAGAGCTCCCTCTATTTCCACTTTTAGAATAAGTATATCTAAACCACACTGAGCCCAAAAGGTGCCTAACAGAATTGCTTCACTGGCCATACCTGCCTTCTCTGGTCTTGGCTAGACAGAATCTTTGAGCCTCAGACACCTTATCTTTAAAAATGAAATACAATCAGTCACAACACAAGGCCATTGTAAAGGTGAAAGGAGATTAACAGGAGGGCTCACTATCAGTCACCTTGCTTTCCTCCAGAGAGGCGGGGGTAGGGGCCAGGGGTGGGCCTGAACCCCAACACTCTTCTTCCTCTTCCCTTCAGAAGACACATATCTAACATGCTGTTATCAGCATCCTCCCAGGACAGTTATTACTTTGAAGACCACAATGTGATATGTTTCCTAAGAGGGCTGGTGGGTCTGGGATATGAATGAAAAGAGTTCCTCTTAACAAAACCACCAGCCTCAGCTCCATAAAGTGGAAAGGACCTTCACAGAAAGCAAGGAGACCTCAAACACTAACCGACAGCATGAGCTGGGCCAGTCACTTCACCACTCTGGACCAATTCCCTCAGCACTAACTCTGGATGGCAATGCTGGTCTTGTCCTCAGAAAGGACAGCTGTGAAGATCACCCTGAGAAGCCAGACACTGCTGCAGATACAAGCTGCCAAATAATAGAAAGACAATGCATTTCCTGCCTCACTCTCTACACTTATAGCCAATGCAGACATCACTAATCAATCATAGTATACTTCCTGTTGAATCTGGATGAGACCTCAGAACTCTTTCTCAACATTGTGCTTTAGAAAGCCTCTATGAAAATTCCTTCAAGATTTTATTTCCTTTGTGATTTGAAGGAGTTATAATGCTAGGGATGCAGTGCCAGGGAGCAAGAGTCACTTGCTAAACTGTTCAACTTCAGGAAGTGACCACTTCTGTTTAAGCTGCACGACAGCAAGCACAGAGCACATGTGTAAAATGCCCAGTTCCAGGAATCTGGCAGATGTGCAGTCATTGGGTGTATGTCTCTCCTAGGCTACAAGCACCCACCTCGCTGGCCTGGGCATCCAGGAACCACCCTCCATCTTCACCTCCTTTATGGGCATGAGAGAGGTGGCAGAGTAACTAAAGCTGGCAGTGGACAAGTCCCAGGTGACAGTTTGGCAGTGATTTAGGATTTTAAAATG